AGAGGAAAAGCCGCAAGCAAGATTCTACACTAAGGAGCCGCTGGCAACGATTTGGAGATTAATCAACAATCTGAAACTGGCCGTGTTAAAAAAAAAAAAAAAAAAAAAAAAAAAAAAAAAAAAAAAAAAAAAAAACAATAAATCTACTCAGGTCGAAGTGCAGAAGTCCTTGTGGCCGCCTCTTTTAACCTTATCTCTATACTTTGAGGTATCTTTTGGGTAATGTTGTACTGTGTTTGACAAGTGTTGGCGCTAGCCATCTCATTTTTAAATATACTTTGTTTTGGATTATTGTAATCCCTAATCCTACTCCCACGCTCCTTGCAAACCCAGTCCTGTTTTACTCCTATGCTAGAAAGGTCCTCACGTCTCTCTTTTCTCATGCTTTTTTCTCCCGTATTAATAATAAACCCTCTGTGCTTCTACATCGATCTCTTCCACCAGAAATCATCGGATATTCTGCGGCGAAGTCAGCGGAATCGGGCCCGAGCTCCCTACGCTTCCTGCAGCCTGCATCTGAAGGAGGGTGGTAAGGCCCTTATGAACCTCTCCCGTAATTTATTTTAATTTAGAATTTTCTTAAATTTATTTTATTAACGTTTCAATAATTTTTTAAAATGATTATTTTTTTTCTTCCACGGCATTGGTCGTAACAAGTTTTTATGCAAGGGCTGGTTTGTTTATGACTCGTCTCTATGTTTTGTTTGTGTATTTTTGGGAGTACTGTCAGTTTGAATGTTTCTTTCGGCTTTGTGATTAAAGGGGATTTGTTAATTGTGTCTTTGATCTTGTTGAAGTTACCACTGCTTCAACAACCGTCTCGTTCCACTCTTCAGTCAATGAGGTTACGGGAATCCTGTAGATAAGCAGGGGGCTTATTTCATACTCGTCGACGAGGTCTCAGTAATCAATAATGGAGCCAGCCATCAGCACCATTTACGACAGCAAAAGGGTACTTACGTAGTATTCAACTCTCGCCTTCCATACAGCCAACGGAAGCCAGCTGCCTGCTGCACGAGTCCCTACCGACTCTACTCACTCCGCTACATCCACCAACGGCTCATCAACATCGGTCCATGGACATCAACCAACGGCTCCATCCAAAACACAAGCCCTTTTCAGGGCCACCAAAATGACTGAGTTGTGGATGTAGTCTGATTTTGTGTAAAATACGGTGGCGTTACTTTTGTCTGCTCGTGTGATGAATCTTTTTGCATAGTACTGTCTTTTTGTTACGACAATGACTGACCACTGATCAACTAGAAGTAAGGTAGTGGGTAGATTCTCCTTGAAATGTTTACAACATTCGGAAGGGCAAGGATGACATTGTGGCTTATCAACCTTTTCCGTTATACCGAGCGACCATCACTTTTCGGTGTCAAAAATATTAGGGTTGTCGTTGATACTGGAATTTTATCTCAGTGTTCCTCGGATTTAGTTATTCGACTCGATCCCGTTATAAGTGTATAAAATGTCTAATAAAAAATCCTTTTTAATGTAATGTCCGGCCGGCGGGTGGTTTCACAGCTTTTAAATGGCGGCGAGACAAAAACAAAATCTCATAGCGTGAATAAGCACGAGGGAAATTGAAAAACATGCCCCTGTTTGTGACAAAGTTGTTAATCTGATCAATCTAGCCGTGTTTTTTTTTTTTTTTTTTTTTTTTTTTCAACATGCTGTTTTTATACCAACACTCATTAACATGTCTGAAGATTTTTCCCAATTTTTTTAACAAAAACCAAATGTACTGTGAAGAAACGGTACCTTGCCTTAAAACACAACGGATTGATGTTGCTTATCAACATGGAAAAAATACTATTTTGATGTTGATGTGGGCCTTCATATGGTCCACTCGGATAGAGTGAAAATTAAACTACATTGTTAAATTTCAAAAGCACTTAGATGTAGATCATTCCGGTGTATCATACTTGCACCCTTTAGGAACTATTTGCATACACTGTTCTGTACTTATATAGGATACGGTGAGTCCCAGTTCATTAAGGAATTTGATAGTAGTCCTGGTTTCAGTGGTTGAATTTCTTCTACGGTTACTTTATACATCCCAAAACACTTCCTTCTGCGAGCAATTTGGCGCCATAGTTAGCAGGTTGGTGTCTCTTCTGTTTCTATGCAGAATCTGCACGTACCGTGTTGTATTATAGCAATCTTCTTCAGATGTCCACTCAGTCTGCAGTGTGTTGTTTAAGATGAGGACTCCTTAACCGGAACATAGAGAGAATATCCGGTTCGTCGATCGAGTTGTTGAGCCCAACTTGAAGTTAGTGCAGAGGGAAGAGTAGTTAATATACGAGTTCAGTCCGCACTCCTCGAGGAAATAAATTTAACAGCACGGGACTGAATATTTCCAGACTTCTGTCACCTTTGGAAGAGGGCGTCCATTTAATCCCTGTATATTCCAAATGTAAGTATTCTAAAACGGGACCATTATCAATCAATCTTTGTTTCTGTATCTTCAATTTTTTTGTAATTCTATGAATGAAACTTAAAATTTGATTAGCACTATTAATTATTAAAGTGCAATGAAAGTTAAATGTCATGTCGTTAGAATAAGTGATTCCCAGGTCTTTAATGGTTGTTTGCCTGTCCAATTGGATGTTTTGTATGGTGTGATTTTAATAGACAACGCTACGTCTATGACTCTAACTAATAACTGCACTTATTTACATTTAGTTCCCTGCTGTCGCTTGAATACCACTCTACAAAATGGTTTAAAGATCTTTGCAGAATGGAATTTATAGCAGTATAGGCCTTCATTAGCGAAGATGAAGAAATTAACTGAGCAAAAAGAAAGAGAAATATCATTAATAAGTATTTTGAAAAGGAAAGGGCCGAATAACGCCCCCTGAGGTACACCAAGACTGCTATTTTTAGAAGTTCCTGGAATAAGTTTCACAATTTGATATTTATCGTGTAAATAGTCGGTTTGCAAACTCTAAAATAGTACAAAGTTTGCATTTCCCCTTTAGGCTCATTCAATATCTTTCATTCTACCTATCTCATTCTCTCTCTCTCTCTCTCTCTCTCTCTCTCTCTCTCTCTCTCTCTCTGCCTATCTCTCCTTTCTTTCTCTCCCTCGCTCTCATATATCACTCACTAAGTTTGCATATCCCCTTTAGGCCCATTCAATATCTTTAATTTCTTTTCATTCTTTCTATCTCGTTCTCTCTACCGCTCCCTGTCTCTTTTTCAATCCACCCCCTCCCTCTCACTAACATTGTCAGACTTTTTTTAAAACTCTTTCTCTCTCGTTGCTTTCTCTACTCCCACATGTTCTGGGACCCACCCAGCAGAGGGTGATTTTAATATGCACACTTAATCCATTTAGTTTAGTTCTACAATTTAGCACTAGTATCAATGATGTTTGCTTAGTGCTTGATGGCTATCTGAAATGTTAGCTATAAGCCAGGAACACACTTACCCGATGCTACGCCTTGCGACGCTACCCGATGCTACTCGACGCAAATCCAAACTCCGATTTTCCATAAGGTTGCACTACTCCCGTGCACATTTACCCGATGCTATGCCACGCTAACCTCTGCGATCCCCACTGTCCAGATTTTCGTCGGATCGCATCGAGTAGAGTCGAAGACAAAAGAACCGGACGCTCATATTTTTATTCAAACTACATGTATTATTGTCGTTATATTAATTACAACATACTTATTTTAATAGAAACCAAATTAATTAATTTTAATGGTTTAGTAGAAAATTAATCAAAACACCTGAATACGATTTTTTGACATAATGAATTTAACTAACAATTTATTGTACTCGCTTCGGCGGTACATATACTAAAATTGTAACAATTTATTACACGGTTTTGTTCATAAAATTTAATTAACAATTTATTTCATAGTTTTGCTCGTAACATTACAACATTTTGTAATGTCGGGTAGCATCAGAACAGGACACTCATATTTTTTGTAGTTTATTTCAAATTAAGTACATGTAATTTTAATGTTATTTTAATGTAAACCAAATTAAACGAGATAAAAAATGCATAAGTTTTTCTAAACATTGTTTAATTATGATGGTTAGGAGTAACTTTATTTAAAACAATTAAGTTTAACAAAGAATTTATTAGATGGTTGTGCTCATAAAATTTAACTAATAATTTATTACAAGGTTTTGCTCAAAATAGTGCATTAAGAACAAAAGATGCGTTGGGATTGTGATAGTGATTATTGTGATAAACGCTGTGGATTGTACGAGACGTGTGCACCCACCAAAACGTGGCAAGGCGTCGGGTAGCATCGGGTGTGTTCCTGGCTATATTCGTGTTTTTGTACCATTTGTTCAGATTGGACTGGGTAAATCGCTCTTTGAGGGGAACTCGTGGGCTGTGCGTATTTGGTTCCCCGACAACTCAAAGTAATTTCCTTTGGAAGTGAACCGACACCTTTTGCACATCCATCTTATCTACAAATTGTTTAAACACATGGTTTTCATCTAAATAAAAGGATGCATAATTGTTAAATTACGTTGAAACACAGATTCAGTTTTATTTATAATTTATTGCAAATATTTTCCTCCTCCAGTACAATCTAGTATTTCATGACGGTGACTTTCTCAGACTAGTCGCTGGTCCCAAGCTGAAACCATATTTCTCGCTGGATTATTTGTTCGATCGGGCGTTCAAAAGTTGTACAACCTTGGACCTAAAGTTATTAAGCGAAACAACCAATGGAATTTCCAAGCGTGATCTTCTACGTCGGTCACGTATAACAATAAAATCATCAGGATACGTATTGCACTTTTGCCGTTTCTTTTTTTTTCTTTCAAGAGAGGGAATCCATTCCTACGCCCCTGTCAAATCCATCACAAACTGATTTAAGGTAATTGCACGTTTTATAACGCGACTATTACCCAGGCGGAATACAAATTTCACCGGCTGAGGCCAATTGACTCTCATAAAACCCCGGTCGACATCTGGCGGAACAGATCCGATGGAATGCCCGTTTTAAAACGAAGGACATTACCTGTCGAAGCTCACGGAGACTTTGAACTTTTTGTCCGGCTCAGGGTTGTACGGCGGTGGCGGCGAGGATGTCAGCGGTGTCCGGCAGTTGGATACAACCCCACTCAGGTGAAAGCCTGCAAAACAAGAACCAGAGTTAGACACAACGTACCCATATCTACAATAAATATATTCAACAATAATTTTTGCAGGAGTGTTTAACATCGCCCAGTGTTCGCCGCAAAATATGTTCAGCGTAAGCTACACTTTAATTGCGTGTCTAGCTGCAGTTTTTCTATGTAAATCTAGGTTCTGCTATATTTTGATGTATGCATCTTCCTTACTTTTTATTACTCCCTCACACACGCGTCGACACACCTTGTTCTTTTTCTCAACTATCGTTCAAACTCTTTCATTTGCTCTCTGCCTTTGTCTCTGTCCGTCTGTCTCTCTCTCTTTATATATATATAGAGAGAGAGAGACAGATAGTCAGACCATCTCTCTCACCATCAACGCTCGGTTTAGCAACGACAGTCAATGACCTAGTACTTCTTAACAGAATGATCCGAGTCGATTGACTAAACTAAGGAAATCGGAAAGTACAATAAGCCAGAAAGCTGCAGTGCTTCGGGAACAAAAATCCCCGCTTCTCCATCATCATCAACATCGTCGTCATCGACCTCTTTCTAATTACGGTTAGGTTTGTTAGGAATGGTTAGGTAGGTCAGGATAAGTAGGGTTTGGTTAGGTTAGGAATGGGTTACATTGAAGTAGGGTAGAGTAAATTTAGGTTAGGATACGTAGGGTTAGGGACGAATAAAGTTAGGCTAGGAAGGTTGCGATACGTAGAGATAGGGACACGTAAAGTTAAGTTAGGGTTGCTTGAGTTAGAGTTGGAGACGGATGTGGGGTTTCTCGTTCTCACTCTTTCTCTCTCTCTCCCTCTCATCTATCACTCACTAAGTTTCTCCTTTATGCTCATTCAATGTTTTTCACTTCTTTTCATTCTTTATGTCGCGCCCTGTCCCGGATTGTCTGTTTGGTTCTCTCTCTCTCTCGCTCTCTCTCTCTCTCTCTCTCTCTCTCTCTCTCTCTCTCTCTCCCCCTGATATATCATACTCCACGTTTGTATATCCCCCACACTTATTCGATATATTTCATTTCCTATCATTCTTTCTATCTCGCCCTCTCGCTGACTGTCTGTTTCTCTCTGTCCCTCCTCACAACTCTGACAAACTTTCATTATCTCTTTGCCTATTCAATCTTTCTCTCTATCTCTCTGTCTTCCCCCTCTCTTTATCGGACACGCTTTCTTTCTCCTATTACTCTCCATCTCACGCTCTTATAATGTTTTATCTTCTTCTCTCTGACTCTTTTATTTCAGTCCATCTTTCTCCGCTTTATTCCCCGAACAGTTAGGTGATGTTTTTATTCGACATGTACAAAGTGAATTTTTCAAAAGACAAACTTAGAAATTGAAATTAGCCGAACTTCATTTTTACGTCACAATGTGATTTTTGAGACCTTGAATATATTTAAGTTGACTGAGTATGTCGGGGGAGAGCCGTGAGTCTAAGACTGTGTTACGCACTTATCTGATAAAATGTGATAATTTTATGTTAACGTTATGGAGATATAGAAACTATAAACCCAAGGAGATATGGCCGTTCGTAACGCTAAGCGAAAACCACATCGAAGCAATATAACACAAGTACCATTATCAGGGAAAAGTTCACATATCATCATAATTCCAACGATAAACCGAGAAATTTCGCAGACGAATTTACATTAGGAGTAAATATATTGTAAATGGCCACTATTGTAAAAACGTCTTGGAGGAGTGGAATACTGTACAAATCTTGTCGGATCTAGGCATTGTCCTTAATTGGCAACGGCCACGATAGCGAATTTCAATTGTAATCGATCCACGATTCTCCCCAGTCCAACTTACACCTTTACAGTAATCTTTCAATATCATTTCACATGCAGTCAAGTTTCTTCTCTGGACTGACTTAATAAACAATCGCTTTTGGCCAATTTTCTCGAGAATGTTTCTTCCGCCTCGTTTGATCTTGTTAATTGATCTTTTGACGGCCGATAGTTGGCTAATTGGTTTTTAAAACACCTTTCAATTATTCGGTTGGGTTTGTAGCCGGTAGACGGAAAAACAGAAGCCTGTTTGACGCAAGGCCATTTCTGAGACTCCTTTGGACGTACACATCAACTTATTGACTCTTTCGTGCCCAACATTGCCTCAACACCAAATTCAGTAAATTTCCTATAGCTTAGCTAATTCCATGGTTTTAAGGCGGGGGCAGTTTTTTTTTTTTTTTTTTCTTCAAAGCTTCATCCCGTGAATTAGCACACTAATTTTTTAACGCAAATCTAAAATCTCCATCTTCTTAATGATAATCTATCTATAATAATAATAATAATTATTATTATATATATATATATTATTATAATTATTAGCCAACTTTAGCGATTTTGCGTAAGGTTAGCAGGAAATCCCGTGAGTTTAGGGCGGGCGCCGTGTTGTTCCTGCCCTGTTTCTGCAGTGTATTGGCAACACTGATTTTATTAGCGCCAATCTAAAATCTCCATCTTGGAATAATCCATCTCCAACAATGGCTCTTCACCCGACCACCGACTCTTGTAGATTGTTATATTTGCCAAACATGACACTTTTCACATCCGGTTTATAAATTTAACCCTGTCTTGCCTTAAGTTGCTTCAGAGCAATGCCGACTTTAGAAATTTTTAAGGTTAACTAGAAATCCCGCGAGTTTAGGGCGGGCGCCGTGTTGTTTCCTGCCATGTTTCTGCCAGTGTATTGGCAACACTGATTTTTTTGGCGCCAATCTAAATCTCCAACACTAAACTTTTCCGCCAACTTTTAAACCAAATTGCTAATGTTGGTCTTGCTATAAGACAACATTAGGTCATGAAGGGTTAAAGGTTCAGAGGCCTCACAAGCTGCCAATTTCGTTCTTTCTTCCTGAAAAAGTCCCCCGAGTCAACAAGTCCTAAATCCAACTTTACCGTACAAATTTTCGCAGACGCCGATCAATTTATATTATTATCGACACAGGTATTACTGCTTAAAAGAGGAACTACTTTATGAAATATAGAGTAGCAACACATTGATGAGCGTTCATTGAATGTTTCAAGACTTGTTTCGATCAATTTTGTATGCTATCTTCTTTCCATTGATTGATTTGTAGAATCGAGTTGGTGGTTTAATTTTGACCTTGATATTCAGTAGATTAAAGTTAATAGGTTAATCAAACGTCGGAGGTCTTCGAAACGTCCTGATTCCTTCGTACTGCCGTTGCTTGTCAGATTAGTCGATCAATTGAAGCTCTGGTGAATTTTGAAAAGATATGGGTTCGGTTTTGTCCAGAATGACAAAAATGTGAACAAAAAATCTTACCTACTTGATGTGATGGCAAAAGCTTTTACGTACAATTTACAAGTCGAACAGAACAACATTCGTAATAAAGACGAAATTCTCGAGCCTCGGATATTACGGGCCCTTACGCTAATTTGGGCCCCGATAAACCTCTCCTCTTGAATTTAACTGCCCTTGAAAAAAAAAAAAAAGTTTTCCCCCATAGATACAGATCACGTCAAGGGCCTACCCTTATGATACTTGTTGAGCACCCCGGAGGGTGGAAAATACGAAAAAAAAGAGTGTGCGAGAAACGAGCAACACCCCCGCCCCCGTTGAGCAGGGAACCCACCCCCGCCCGCTGCCACCTGTGCACAGTTCTGCTGAAGGGGCCTACTGGCGGCTCTTGAATTTATGGTCTGATGAGTGCGGCTCTTTATATTTGGTAATTACTTCGGAGCAATTTACTTCATCTCTCATGTCCTCGCGGAATGATGATATTTCATTTACCATCCACTTCAGTAGGTCTGCGGTGAGTTCAAAAGATTAACGAAGACGATCGACGCAATTTTAAATTTTATAGCCCTCCTCATCAACAAACTTACCTACAAAGAAATAACCCCTTGTTAAGTTAATGTTGATCTATTGAATTCTAATATCCTAGATCAACTTCCATATCAATGGTCGCATCCATTCTCAGAACCACAGATTTTCATATTAAATTCCACTGCTTCTTAAATTTGGCAAAGTATTAGCGAACCTTCGTAACCATAATTCCCCCCACTCCACCCCGAACATTGTAACAGTTGACTATGACAAATCAGAAAAAGACACTGCTCTTATGGCACGAATGTGGACCTCGGACTGTACAAGGCAACCAAAATCTTACACATAATAATCGATGTTAGCATCACTAACCATACCGGTCCACTTTAATCAAAACATATGACAAACCAGTAACAATAAAAGATTTCACTATGAAACATGCTTTCTTTACAATCCATCGTACACAAGTTCTAACCACCTGGAGATTAATGCCCGATGACACAGTCTACGCCATCCAAGATCATGTACACAGCCTCGCCTGTTAGAACCTGGGGGACGGCGCCATCCTCGATCATATACGTGGACCTGGAGTCTACGCCAACCTAGGACATGTACACAGCCTCGTAAGCGAAGACCCCGTGTACACGCCATCCTAGATCATATTCACAGCCTAGTCTGCAGAAACAAGGAGTCCACGCCATCCTAGGTCGTGTACACACCTCGTCAGCGAATACCCGGTTCCCAGTCTCTCCGACGACCACCCATCGTTTGCAAGCCGACGCCGCTCCTGGCTGAGTTATAAGGATATAAGACTGGCCAGTACCGGTGACCGTCAGCCTGAGAGAGAGGGAGAAGAATCAGGAATCTACCAGATGTAGAGGAAATTAGGAAACACGAGATCAGAAGCAGTTGATGGTTCTGAGTTCTCAATGCAGTACGGTGTTCAATTCGACAGTGAGATCAATCACCTGAGTCCGGAGGTTGACTGCCGTCGAGGGTGCAAGTAACTGAGGGTGGGGTAAACATCGGTTTAAATTGTACCAAATTGTAGGCGGTATGTACTAAAGTGGTCCTTTAGTTTTTGGCACTCTGTCCTGCTTCGACTGTACGTTCTGTAATCGCTGAGAATGGCAAAAAGACCAAAAGCTCAGATGATTTTCTACCACATTAGACAAATGTGTTGATGTAGAGAATTTCCACCGCGGTCCTCGATAATTTTAGAAGTTTAATAATTTTCCTTTTTCACTCCACTGCTAATAATTAACAAACAACGAGAGAAGTTTCCCAGTAAGTTAATTTTCCTGATTTTCACTTAACGTCCACTTTCTGCATTATATCAACTGGAAGAAACTTCCAAAGCGGAAATACCTTTGGTTAAATTTCGCATAAGCGCAATTTAAGTACTAGAGTTAAATTTAATTCGCTTTGACAATTATAATAATAGTGGTATTATTATCGCGTTAATACTTCAATAAAAAGCAAACCTCTTTTGGCACTTTTTCTGCCGATATTGTAAATTTAAGATGATTTCACGAGGATTCTGAGAGAAAGGAAAAGATTTATCATCGTTTTATCGTTCGCTCGACAATTTCCTTTTAACGCAGCCGATACAAGAAGGGAAACAACAAAACTTAATCCTCGTTTAAATTCCTCCTCCCGATTATTCCAGGAGGATAACAAAAAATCGGGCGTATCACGTTCCCAGGGGTTGGACCGGGAGAGAGAGAGAAAAAATCTTTAAAACCATTTACATAAAAAGATAATTAGTTTAGTTTCGAAGCCCGGGTAGGTAGTTTGTTTGAGCCGTTGATCACGACTCTGGAGTAAAACGGTCTTGCGGAACGTAAAAAGAAGATGAGAGAAGCCCCTTTTCGTCTGATGATCGACTCCAATGGAAGAAAAGGCTTCAATTATCACAGGAGTGTCTACGCGACTTGGAATAAAAACTCACCGGTATCGAATGTAAAAACTGTTAAGTACCAGACAGCCCATGAATCTTGGTAAAAGCAGCGAATCTCAAAACTGAGTTGTCAGGGCTGACAATCTGTACAACTGGAAAACATATTAGATGGTCGCTAGACAGAATAGAAACACAGAAGCTTGTCATGCTTTGATCCTTGTGAAGAGCATGCCGCTGAATTTAAGAATGGTTCACGGGCACGGGAGCGAGTTTCTGGGTCCCCTTTTGTTTTGGAGGATGTGGTTTTTTTATTGTATAAAGATCTGTTTTATGTGTTTTGTGGTTCTGAGTTTTGTATGAGTGCATGTATTTATTAATGTTAGTGGTGAGGGGCTGATACCCAAATATAAAGGTGTCCATTCACGATCGCTCCAAATGGAACCGCGGCAATCCGTACAGCTGCATTTGGAGTGCCTGAAATTTGAGGGGGCATTNTCACGATAGCTCAGGTGGTAGAGCAGCGGCGTATCAAGCCGAAGGTCGTGGGTTCGAATCCCTCTCGTGCCATTAGCTTTTTTTCATCTCAACTAAAAACCTTTTAATTGTAATGTATTAATTGGTCAAGCGGACCACGAAATTAGTGAATTATATTTAGTGTTCTATTGACCAAATTACTCCTTTCAATTATTTCATCTTTTTTGTAAGGTTTTGGTTAAAATGAAAAAGCTAGTGCCACGAGCGGGATCTGAATCCATGGCCTTCGTCTAAATACGCCGCTACTCTACCACTTCAGCTATCGTGACTTCGATCCTCTCCGACACCAAAAAATGGCAAAGAGAGAGAAAATTCGAAAGGTTGTAGGTTGAGATGAGGAGTTGGTGCCCTAGTGGATCGAACTATCGAAGTCAGTATAGCTCAAGTGGTTAGCGCAGCGGCGTATTTAGCCGAATGTCGTGGATTCGAATCCCCTCGTGACATTATTTTTTCATTTCAACCAAAACCTTACAAAAAAAAGATTAACTTCTTATTTATATTTACTCCAGCTTGTTACCCTTTTGATTAGAAAACAAAAGACAGTCATGAAAGAAATCATCACTACATGAAAGGTTGGTAACCACATTACGATTTCTCGCTACAGGGATGAACTACAAAGAACTTAAGTTCTCTACTACGATTTCTGATCATTCTTAGGGGTTATCGATACCGCATCTCTCATTGCATTTGTATCCTTCATTTTGAAAACGTCCACCAACTGGTTGAGGATCAAATTTCTTTTATTACTATCGTGGTAATATAATCATTGCCCACTACTTTCATAAACATGGTAAACTATCATACAATTCAATCACCTCAACAATAAAATCTCGATTGGATGTCATTACCAATAAAGAATAAACGTTTTTGACTTTTTGAGAATGTACGACGGAGATGTTTGCTCAGTGACAGAAAGACAGAGACTGCGCCAAAAAACGAGGGTTTTCCCATTCACGAACGTGCCATGCCGTCGTCGCGCCGTAGATATTTGGAGCGGCGCGATGGAGTTTGGATCGGTCGAATATTCGGCACAGCCGGGCACGCCAGTTCAGTTTTTCCATTGACGTGGTTTTTGGAACGGCGTCGCTCCGTTTGGACTGCTAGGAGCGCTCGTGAATGGCCACCTTAACGTCACTATCTCCCTTCCAGCAGTGTGTGTGTTTAGGGTTGATGGCGGAATATCTATAAAAATACCCCATCGACCCTATTTTGATTATATTATTAATATTGCGTATAGGTTGATGAAGGAATATCGAGTGGACCAACTAACCAGAATGAGTGAATGTATTTATTTGTGCAAATGTATTATAGAAGTTAGTTTTAGGCTAGATTGCATTTTGCATGCGTTTGGGGCTGAAATTGCGAACTTGTCGAAACCCCCTGGAGCCTAACCCCGATAGTTGGGAAGCGATTCTCCTGAGCATCTAGCTTAAACGGGCGACCCAGCAGTACAACGGAGTAATAAACTCCCCTGAGGTATTGACCGTAGGGTTAGCATTCCCCTGTGCTTCGGGGTGAACTTCCAATGCGAACGACATAATTTGCCTATCCCCGGAATTCCTGAAGACCTGAATTCCATAAAAGAATGGCGCATAAGAACAACGTAGAATTGAATTTTAGTAAGTCGAAAGTCATTGTTAAAGGATCCAGTCACCTCCTCAATTCCCTCCCCCCATCCTTTCCACTGTTAAAAACCTCAGTGTTACCTTCGAACAAAACCTTTCCTGGAGACCACACATTTCCAAAACTTCCCCAGGCTGTATTTTACCCCTCATTCAATACACCAGTCCTGGCAGTCCTAACGTTCGCCCCTAGTAAACTCCTACTCTCCTCTTTCATCTTTACTATCTTCGATTACAGCTGTCTCCTTTATGGTTGATTTTCGGAGGAATAAGACAAGCGTCAACACAGGCACTGCCCAAAAGTCTAGTCTTACACCTCACCTTAGACCTATACTGGCTATAACCCTCCTTCCGTAGTTAGTATTTCCATACCTTGCTTCACCAATCCACAAATTCTCGACCTCACTACATTTTCCGTCTACTTCAATTCAAATCTTCTATCCACTCTCGTAACACCCGCTTGTTTACCAATAATAATACTCCCCGTCATAAAACCTACACATTGAGTGGTCCTTCTTAGCTCGAGCCGCAAAGCTATGGAAGTCTTTTCCTTTGCTGATTCGCTAAACAAGTTATACGAAAGCGTTCTTTATTCTCCTGTGCATGTACCTGTAGTCCAAACAATAAGTACATATTTGGCAGCAGATTGTGCTGGTACTAGTAGCTTCGCATTGTTTAAAAATAATAGTCACATCTCTGATGACAGGGTTTCACGGATATGGGCGAGAACCGTCTTCGTGATAAGTTACATCGTTCGTAGCGGGAGCATAAGGGCAAGATCGCAATGCCGGGAAGAGACCAGCGCGGTGGTGTTCAGATGGCTTCGAGTTCGATTATGATGACAGAGATAAAGGGCTGATGACGTTCGCGCTAGACTGCTATGACAGAGTCTATAGACGGAGCTACGACAGCTTCTATTACTTCACCATCAACATGTTTGCCGCATTGCGCAGTTTCGAGCGAGTGTGTGGCGAAACTCAGAAACTTGTTCTGCACACCTGCAGCCTGGCGACATCAGTCCTACCTGTGAAATTCCAGGAGAGGCACGCATAAGCAGGCTTCGGCCAGCCCACACCACCTTGTACAGGAGTATTTTGTCGGCAGGCGACACAATGGACTGACAACAGAGGAAAATAGCCGATAGCCGCTTTGCCCTTTTTACTTTTATCATTAACACGGAGAGTAAAAATATCACCACAAGATATTTGACCGACTCAGACAATGACGCAGTTACAATTTCAATTTGGATCTTTTTATACAGCAATGGTCCACGCATGATTAGCCATCCTATGCAGCATACTGCGTTGTCTAACCTGTTCGATATTGTATTTATCTTCCAAGAGTAAGAGTAGCGAGCGATATCGTCAGCGAAAAGAGCCGCCATTTTTAGGGCCATAGTTCTTTGGGCGAGGTATTTTGTCAAAATATACAAGGAAGCAGATGGGTCCAAGAAGGGACCCTTGAGGAACACCAGCAACAAGAGATACAAGTGGACTATTTTTATTATGTATGGAGGGAAGCTATATTCCATCATCCTGCTACTATACCATTGACAGTGTCAAAGGCCTTTTAGATATATTAAACCCATGCCAGCATGCTTTCTTGCATTAAAGCTAACGTTGTGACATGTAATATCCTGGCTATTTGGGCAGTGGTAGATAGTCCTGGCCTGAAACAGCTCCAACTAGGTGGATTGTCCATGAGATTTCGACAAATCTGGCACCACGGTTGATGATTTCACCAGCGAGCACAATGCCATTTCGTATTTATCGTATTAAAAAGAAGAACAAAACATCGAGCATTTTTTTAAAATACAATTTAATATTGTGATAAACTTAAAACGCCCATGGTACATCCAAGGATATATACAATTTGATTTGATCCCACATTGAACTGGCAAAATTTTTTAATGGTATCCTCTCTGTAATCTCTAGTTGAAATATTTCAAAAAAGAAAATAATTTGTTAATT